CACAAGAAATAGAGCGCACAAAAAATATAAAACAATAAATAAAACAAAACTAAATAATGTGAAAAACTAAAACAAATCTTAAATTTTTATTAATAAAAAATATTTAATACACAATAAATTTTAGTTTTTCTAGAAAAGTTCGAACAGTTTGTTTATAAATTTAAAAAATTGAAATTTATTTTATAAAATGTCTAACAAAAGTTGTTATACAAAATAAATATTACCTTAAAATATTAATTTTCAACAAGATTGTGTCTTGTTTATAAAATCGTACTGTCTGCTGTGTTACCAGCTGAGGTATGCAAGAGTACATGTCAGGAATTGCAATATGGCGCAGAGTATTAAGTGCCAAAATCATGCGCGCATAAAAAAACCAGACTTGTATGTAGCATACTCAGAGGACCGAGAACCGAGTCAAAGTAAGATACAAAATGGCGACTCTCTCTACAAACAGGCAAACCGAAGTCAGGTGGTGAGAGTACCACCCACAGTCGTTCTAGGAACTGGACTGTGACCCTAAGACTGAACACGTAGTATTTTCTTTGTTGAATAAAATTTGTAATCTAATTTTGTAAATTTAGGAGTGCTTCAAATATGACATTAAAACAGGGTTTTATGTCGTTAGAAGTAGGTTTTTTAACATTATCTAGTATAGTAAAATCGTGAAACCGATAAAAATTTGACATTATATTAGGGTTGTCGTTACATCCGATGACGTTATAATCGGGTTAAACTGTACAGTATATTGTTTGTGCAAAATAAAAAAATAATTTTGGACGATACAATAGCCACGATTATTTTTTTCAAAAACGGGAAATTCTCGTTAGGCATCGACAAAAATTCAACCCGGGCCGACGGGTTGCAACGGAGAGAAATTTCGAAATTGGATAGGTTAATTTCATCAAAAATGCATCGTGGTCGTAGCCGGCGAAGTTTGAACGATCGCGCCCAAAAGCAGCGATACCAAAGAAGATTGGATAATGAGAACGAGACCCGTCTTGAGCGTGTCTCGAGTGATTCTGCTTAGTGTTGTCTCCGAGACATAGTCGTGTCCCAAATACAGTTTTGCCGTTTTACTTGTTTAATTTAACCTTTTTGGTTAATATTTAAATAATATCATATTTTATCAGTTTTACCAGTATTATACAGTTGTCCAACAGAAAAGTAAACTATCTTATTTACAAATCTTTTCAAAATAGACAGTTTGACCGGGCCCTAGACATTTGTCTATGCGATGATCCGGCCCTGTTACCACAATATCATTTATCTTTCGGGGAACCACATAATTTGTGCATTTTTGAGTTAAAAAAGGCAGGTTTTTCAAAGGGTGTTCATTGAAAAATGGCTATGAGGAATAGGTTATAAAATATATAAGGGAAAATTTCACACTTCGTAATAAATAACCCATTTTTAAATTCAGAATTCCACTATCTTAAATTAATATTAAAAACTAAGTAGATCCCGTTTACGACCGTTCGTTTAATTAATTAAAACAAAAACCCGCTTTGAGACTGGCTTAAGTTTTCTATAACGATTGCACGAAATGTACAGTAAAACTTGTCCAAAATGTAAACATTCCGTATGTTTCCGTTTTGAACAAGTTTCAATTTTTCTGGATGCAAGTCTCGTGTAATTTACTTTTCCTGCTGTTACTGTATATTGTATATAACAGATGGAAAGTATGGCGATCGATCAAACAATACGGCCCCAAGATTTTTACAATTTTGGACTCTGGGATCTTAAAACGTCGAGAAATGCGAAAGTTTGGATTCCCCCTCCCGTATGTGTGTAGGGCACGATTTTGTTCATCCAATTTATAGCTTAATTCCTATGCATTTTGTCGAAAATGTATGAAATTTTGTGTATTAGAGGCATTAATTCGTGGTTCGTGTGTCATCGCGAGAAGGGTCGAACTTGATGATAATCGTTAGCAGCATTTGCAAATTTTGTTTGTTTTAATATAAAGTTCGTCTCTGCCTTCAAAATCAGTATTTTTTTCCAGTTTATGAGAAGTCTTTTAAACAAAATCAACAGATGGCGCCACAGACAATTTTAACTCTTGCCGGAAAGTTACCTTACTCCTTTTCACGTCATAAAATGAGAATTGATGTCTCCAGTGTAAATTAATTAGCATAATCAGCAATTTAGTATTTTTGTGAAATACCAATTTTCAGTATTGAACTCAAGCTTGATTAGAAGATTATGATGATCAGATCTTAATAAAGTACACATTAATTTAAGATCATTTATAATATGTTTGAATGCAAATTTCCAGACAATTTCCTCCATAGTTAACTCACTATGGTAAGTTCCATGAAAATTTCAGTTTCTAGGCCAAGAATTTGAAAACTACAAGAATATTTCATAGTTTTTTATTGTGTATGTCAGAAATAATTGATACTAGTCAAAAATAAAAACAGTACACTGTTATACATCAGAACAGGTTGTACATTTTTTTTATTTCATCTGATCTATGTAAAAATGATTCGATACAAAAAATTAATGAGAAAATAAGCTCAAACTTAAACAGATCTTTACAGAGTGGGATGGGCAGTGAAACGAAACAATATTTTACTGGGTGGAATACAAACAATAAAAAGATAGATCACAGAATGGGACTAGAATGGAAACTACTCGAAGTTTGCAGTAAACGATAGGTAATCGCAACCATTTTAATAATGCGGTTCCTACCGAATAATAATACTTTGGCTGCTTTTACATATAAAGTGACTTTTGGAGATACACATGTATAACATGTCGATGCTTAAACTTTACACAACGACGAGTTTCTGATCGGCAAGTCCATGACCAAGTTAAGTGGAAACCTGCAAGAAATAATTACTGTAGAAATCGAACCGACAAATGGATTGACTGTTTGGTAATGGAATGCCCACCAGAACACTCGACTAATGTATATTATAGAGTATAAATTTTTTTGATCTATATTAGGTAACGGCAGTCCTTTTGTAAAGGAGCATCCTGCTACCGTACGAGGATGGGGAATGATTTCATAAAGCAATTGCCAACCATACTTTAGTCGCATACACTACCATATTACCATTTCCTTATTAAATGTACTAAACCCCACTCTACAATACAGTACAAAAGATGACAAATTACAAAACATTACATTTTATCATTTTCGAAATTGTAAATTCTGACAAATTTCAAATGGTTCGATCCATACGCATATAATAACCAAAAAGCAAAAAATATACAGATATATATATAATGTATATAAAATTTTTTAAAGTTATTGCTTAAAAGATTTTTTTTTATCTTTTTTTCTGTTACAAATCATGTTTCACTAATTAAAAAAAAGTTAAATACACAGGTTTGAAAGAAAAAAAAATAAAAGACAAAAAGCTACTGCAAACTGAATTGCTAATATAATTTTCTTCTATACAATGATGACCAAAGGAAAAATGTACGACTTTAAACAGATCTTACGTTTTAAGAAACCGAGTGTCTACTTACAACTTTCCAATATGCAAACTAGATTGGACGCGACATATACTACATAGTGGTCACTCGACCAATTTTTCAACAGAACCTGGTAAATCAGCCCCTTCTCTTAACTGGTCCTATTAGCAGTAATGATAGTAAATAATCGGAGCCAAAGTAATGACTATGATGGAATGGTGACACATCCCAGGATCATGTCATATAATGGGTAATGGCACGAAGCGCGTATAGTAATTCCGCTTGCATTCGAGCTTCCAACATCATTAAATTAACGTGAACCTGAATATTAGAAAAAGAAAATGAATATAGCCATTGCTCAGCACTGTTTATCAAGGCTTCATATTTATAAGTACCCTTAGTAATGACAATTACCTTTTCCGAATGTTTAAATCCTTTCATTACACTGTCATACTGAGATTTAGTTGTTCTGTTCGGATAACAACAAACAGTCTTAATGAATGTTTTCAAATTTCGCTCTAAAAGTTCATTAACTTCTCTATAATCGTAGTCATCGTGTCTGATTCCGTAGATGCATTGGATATAGTTCCATATGGCACGTCTAAACATGGATGTGTCGACATTATTTTTTACTCCCATTCTGCAAATTAAAACAATCATATTAATACTCTATATGTAATACTTTGAGAAATTTAAATTACATTACTTGTGTTGAATTTTAATCATGGATAAAAAAAATTTTACTTAATTTATAATCATCAGTATTGAAATATTTTCAGTTTATAATACAGAAAATACGTAGAAATTAAGTGATGATAAAAACTATAATCATTATTTTATTAAATTTATTATCTACCTTAGTTCTATTGGTAATTTTGCATCTATATATTGATAAGAATTAAACACTTTTCTTATGGATTTTCTCTATTCAAGATAATACAAAATTTTAAGTAGTTCTTTGAACCAACCATTCTCAACATGAGCCGAGGAGCCCCAGGGACCTCTTGGCTCATGGAGGAATGAAATAAAGAGGAGATGCAAAGGGAAATGAGTGTACAGTTCAATTTTTTTGACAGATGATACTGACAATAAGATCTAGTGGTAATCACTACAACCTCAGAATTTACATTGCTAAGTCTTATGACTAGTGTATTGTATACATAAAAAACACCTACACACACATCTTTTATGATAATCTCAGACAAATTCAGTACTATCTGAAAATGAGATCATCATCCATGAAAACTTCCCTTCAATTCAGCCCTAGTCAACAATGGAGTATACATTAATTGTATGCATCAGTAGCAGTCAAGTGTATTTGGAAAAGAAATATTTGTGGTAAGCTTGTATCTTTTTTAAATATGTATTTTATCCTTGGAGTTTTTAATTTTTACAAGAAAATTTAAAAGTTTATTTATCAATTTCTACTCTATCTCATTTCTTTGAACTTCTTTCTTTTTTGTTTTAAATTGTAAGTTTATTTCTAATATTTTAATTTTTTTCATTTATGTACCTAATACTTATATATTTTTATTTATACAGTTAGAAAACATATTAAGTTTTGATTGTTGTTTGCCTTTTTCAAAAATTCATCTGTAATTCACTAAGAAATCATAATATATATCTACATTTGTTAGATATTAATGAGAGAGAGAGAGAGAGAGAGAGAGAATATATTTTAGGGTAATATATGTTGGTTCAATATGTTAACAGATGATAAAAATAAAGAGAGAAACTAAGAGACAAGAAAAATTCAAAGGAAATCATGGCTAAAAAAATTGAGAATGGCTGCTCTAGATGAAGATAGTACCAATTAGTGAGATGTTCTGATCAAATTTTGTAACCAATCAAGGGCCTAGTCAACTATTTTCCATAATACTAAAAGTTTTGGCATCCAATGCCAATCTGAAGATGTCATGCATTCAAACATCAAACTGTAGGTAGGCATATAAGAGACTAGCATCTACTATATGCATAGTATGATCTTGAATGTGCATCGTAAATCTATTGCCACTGCATACCAAACCTTCAGTATCATCGATAGTTGAGACTAAGCCCACCTAGAACCCTTTCTTGTTCATTTGGACTACTGAAAATAATGCTTCTTTTTCCAAGATAAATTTGTTTTTTGATGAAAGCAAATGACCATGATTAGATCTTGTAACATTTAGCTATTACTTCTTAATTTTTATTTGATTAACATCAAATTAGTTATATTTCATATGATCAATATAAAAGTAATAAAATTATATAGAAAAATGATAGAGTTCATGAAATTATTTTATATAAAACTTTTCTGCTGCTAAACCTTCAGAACTTAGTAAAACAAACAGACTAAGAAAAAATAGTGTATTCTTAGATAAAATTCATTCTTCAAAATGCATAATTAATAATTTTATCATCTAGTTCTTAATGTTTGAAAAATGTGCCCTCCCATTTTCCCATTTCTTACTTTGTCTATAATTAAAAAAAAAAACACACAAACTAAACATTCATATACTTACGTATTGTAAGTAAGATTATATGCTTTTTTGAATTTCTCGTCTAGTAAGACTCCAACATCGTTATATAGTCTATTAACTAAAGAATAACCGTGATCATCCCATGAATAATCCTGAAAACAAATCATAGTACATAATTATAATTTATTAAACATTCAACAATTAAATACATATAGAATCATTAAAAATAATTTGATCTTTGATATATATATACCTGTATTCTAAAAGTGGATATTTCTGAAACCTCTCCTCTTCTTGCAAAATCTTGATATGTAAAATCAGGATCGTCCATAAACCTTGTAAGATCAGTCGTAAGCGATGAGCAATAATCTACTCCAGCGGGTAGTTCAGCATTTTGACTCTCCACACGTTCAAAACACTTCATTCTTTCTTCTTTATTTGGTTTTTGAGTCCGTTGTTCTAAGATATATCTCATCTTTTGCATGATTTCTTCGACACTACTTTCTTTTTCATAAGTCTAATGAAAATAAATAGTACACAACTTATATTGTAATTTCTTTGCATTTGTAATTTCCTGTAATTGTGTGTTTAACCTATATGTTTTAATATTTTACAAAATTTTTAAAGAATATTAATAAATAACAATTCAAGAATTAATTGTTAAAGAATTAAAACGTATGCTTTTTAACAGGAAACAGTATATTATTATGTGTGAAAAAATAGTTGAGGCATATAAATTTCTAAAAACAGAAGCAATCTTAATTAAAATTGAAGAGAAAGCATTGCCCCAATTTTAAAAAAGTTTATGTTTTTCTTTTTTTAAATCCAATATATTTTTAAACTGTTTTAAAAGGAATTTTTGGCAACCTAAAAGGAAAAGTCAGGCCATAATGGAACGTACTCCGGAACATGAGTTAATAAAAAGATGACTGTCAAAACAGACTGTTTTCAATTTTAATTAATGTAAAAATACCATCCAAATTTTACAAAAAAAAAATAAATAAATAAATAAAAAAACTGGCTAAAAATAAAGCTAAACTCTTAAATTAGCCAATTTGTAAAAGGGTATATTGTAACACTTCATGCCACACATTTAAACTGTAACGTAATTATACTTGAGTGTTGTGACGTTACCAACGATGACTTTTAGAATATAAATGAGTTCACAAGCACTTATGATAGCTTTATGCTATCATTATCAGGCAAATATTGAATACAACTGTTTTCAAATTCTGAGCTTTCAAACAGCTTATGAAATTAAACAAAAAATGTGGATGGAATACTAACATGAATTTGAAATAGAATTTCGCCTTGATGATGCTATTGAACTCATTTATATTCTATGTCACAATTGGTAATGCCACAACACTCAAGTGTAATTAATTACATTAGGAGTGTATTGTATTTTATAATCACTTATATATAGTTATTGAAGAGCATTTCCAGAAATGCCATTTGTTAAGCTTATTTAACTAACTGAAATTAAAGCAATGCATTCACAGATCTCAATTTCTGAACATAGTCTAGTATTATAGAAATTTTGAGAAAAACATTCAACAGAATATTTATCATTCAATGTATACTTCATGAATCAGTATTTGTGAATCACAAAATGGGATTAGTCAGGAATAATGTTGCTTGTATTGATGTTTTATGTAAACACATGCTGATTGATACTAGCATTTTATCACATGCTTCTCTGCATAGACAGATCCTAATCATTAAAATCTAAAGAAATGATAGTTTGAGTTTTGTTAGTTGCTACTTTTTCTTCACAGTCATACAACATTGAAAGAAACTGCATAAGTAAACTGGTAATAAATTATTTCCCCTTAACACTTTTAAAGATTTAACACTTTTGGAACATAGATTTTATAATGTATCAGAATTAAATTTCATAAATTTTAACTGTGTTCCACAAACATATGAATTTTAATGAAAATGAATGCTTTGGATATTGATACTAAAGACATCAGCCTTTAAAAATAATATTGCAAAAAAATATTTAAAATTAAACTAAATGAAAAATAATTTTAGGAAGAGAGCAGTTCTACTTTGTTTTTGAATACAGCAAACCAATCAAGACAGGATAACTTACAACATGTGAATTTTCACATCCATCAACTTCTATTGCACCATTGTCGCTGATATTTATTGGCTGGAATGTATGACCTTCTTCTTGATCAATTTCGGCACTCACGCCTGATCCAAAGATAAAACTGCACAGGGAGTGGAAATGAGCTAATATAACTATGGCATGAACCACTTCAGATAATGACCAATTATCTTTTCCTTTGGTTAATTTCTGAAAAATTTTAAACTCATGTTAAATAGAATTCAAAAAACAATATAGAAGTATTTGTAAGAAAATAAATTTGAATTAAATAAGACATTAAAATTGCAGTCTTTCAAATTTTCTATTTAAAAATATTATTTAAGAACTAAGAACAGAATCATGTCATAACTCAAATTTTACACTTTATTATCCAATTTGCAAATAAATTTACTAAGAACTCTTAATGTCTAAACAATTATTTTTCCATTGCACTTACTGGCATAAATGTTATTCATATTCAATAACTACTATATTACTGAGTGTACTGTACATCATATGCTCTATGCTCAAATTTTAATTCAATCATTTATCTTTTTCTATAAAATCTGCAACTACATTTAATTAAAAAATGTCACAGGAATAACAACAAGTTATAGAAATCATGGTCTTTCGTGATCTATTCCAACTGGTGTAGATTATTCAGACAACAGAATCTACAATTTAAAATGCAAATTATTAAATTTGCAAATGATCTTGCACTGTTAAATGAGGAGCTGATCTACTAAAATTTATAATATCTATAAAGTTAACAGAGATGAAATACTGAAATCATTTCTTATACACACACAAAAACAAAGCCTGAATTATAGAAATAAATAGTCAACTATTATGCTAAAACTTCACTACATAAATGTAGACTAAATGACTGTCTTCTTGTATTAAATTTAATGATTTCAAATAAATTGAGAGTAATCTGGAAGATTAGATCAATCCAGAGCTGACTCAATCCCATCGCTTCTGCTTATGAAGTGTTGCCAATTGACTTCTGTCTAATCCCGACTTCGAGACCAATTAATGAGAATGTTACTAGTCATTCACCATACCTTTAGCCCAAATTTTACACAGTAGAGTCCCGAAAACTCGGCACTCGATAACCCGGCAGTCTGGATAACTCAGCCACACCCTGGCAGGACAAAAAACCCCTAGTTAATTTTCATTAAAGACAACTTTATGCTTCAAAGCATTTTTCTGAAATCTGTCTTATCAGGTAAATTACTGTACGCTGTGTATTCATTAACTTTCATTTTTATGTAGTAAAGGCTCTATGCCTTCATAAAGTATGTACTTTTCTTTTGTTTAGGGGTATTTGGGCAGTTTATTCTCTGTTGTATTCTTAAGCAAACAATACCTACAAGTACAGTACAGTATTTTCCGAGGAAACACTCTTACTTATTTTTTTTAACCCCATTCCCGATAACCCAGCATTTTCACAAACTCGGCCACCCTTTGGTCCACATTAGGCCGAGTTTTTGGGTCTCTACTGTATTTATATAGTTCTAACTTGATAATCCAGCATTATTATTTAATAATTTTTTAAAAAACCCTATCTCAACTATTATTTACCTCTATATGTGTTCTGTTGATGAGCCATGGCTGATGAGCCAATATTTTATTTATTTCTGCTAAATCTTTAAGTTTCTGTGGTATGTAGTCCAAACCTTGTAACCATCTTTCGTTACCTTGTTGAAGGAGAAATTCTTGTTTTTGCAAATTAACTAAAGTGGTACAACGATGCCTCGCTGCAGCCTTAAAACAAATCATTGTTTAGATTAAACCAAAAAACATCTTTAAACCATTAGAAAAAAGTATAATTATACATACCATAATTGCAATATAATGCCTATAATCATATGGCAACGGGCCATCTCCTTTTAAAATAAAGTGTTGCGTTCTGAGAAATAATTCCAGATAATGTGGATGATGGCCTATAACTTGTGTAATGTGATCTAGTCTATTATTCTGGAGAAAAGCTTCGATGAACAACAGCTGTATCTGTAAAAAAATAATTAAAAACTTTTAATTTAGACTAAACAAAAATTATGTTAAATTTTAAATTTAAACAAATGGTTCCTTTAACTGTAAAATTCTCTTTCAAAAGACAAAATGACCAGAAATAAAAGCATCATCCTGTGGCTTCAGGAGTCACCAGTTTGAATTTGAGCTGTAATCTTAACTTTCTATTGGTGGTTTGACTCATATGCTGAGCCCCACTTGCTATTCCCATTTGTTGATAGTTTGACCCAGGTATGTTGACCATCCCTTGCTACCCTGTACTGTGAGCATAACCAAACCCATCACAGGCAGTAATATACACAAACACACTAACTTTTCTTAGAATTTTAAACTACTTTTAAATTTAAACCTTTTGTATGTGTAATTAAATTATAGCTGTAATTTTGAAATAAGAAACACTGTTTAAACTTCATTCATTTGTTGCAGGCACTCCTATTTGTCACCACCTGTTATTCATTCTACCAGTAATTTACAACAGCATTCTTTAGGAATTATCTTTTTTGGCATGTCATTTTCGTGATTTTTTTCTACCTTAATTTAAAATAACTATACTAAAAAAAATAAATTCACTTTCTAAATTAACACACTATGTAGATAGATCAGCATTTATCAAGGAAATATTTACGAAAAAAACTAATTTTTGCTTGATTCAAAGCAAAGCAGTGCCAAAAATTAATGAAGCATCATGTCATCTATTCATAAAACTATCTTTGGCATAAACAGAGGTCAAGTATCAAATAATATTAAGTTACTTTTAAGATTTCATCAAGCTCTCTTATGATTCTATAGGATAATGAGGAGAAAAAAGTGAACATTTATATAAAAGGAATCAAAATACAGAAACATCAGAATAAATGTGAAAACAGACTAGTTAGCTGCATTCAAAAATCTTGCCTGTTCCATCATCTAATATTAATAACAAGCAATATGCCATTGGGCTATATAATGGCTATAATAATATATTTTATCGGGTTTTCATAGTGTTGTTTGTTAATAACAAGCAATCAATGTTTTAATATTTTATACTCATCAGGGATGAAGGTCACATGAATGCAAGTAATGATGCATCATGCTACCTCTATATACACCATTTAACTAGAAAAAATAAGGAAAAGTTAAAGATTGTGGATGAATCTGCGTGAAAATAAGTTATATACCAAACAAAACTGTTCTGCAATCCTGGGATATATTTTCTTCATTAATATGAAATTATTTCAGATGATCTGACAAATCTGCCTACCTACAGACAAATTACTTCATACTAATCATTAACTTAGCCAAATCAAAGTCAGATAATTCAGCAGATCGGTCTGTATTTTAATAAGGAGAAGTGACATCATTAGCATATTAATTAACATTCAAAATCAGTTTTATATCTTGCAATAAAGAAAGAATGCTAATTTGCAAATATGGATGATGTTATAGGAATACCATGATATGAGAGAGTGCAATTCAGGTCACACATTAGAACTTGTTAACATAGTGAAGAAAGATTACAGAAGAGTTTAGTTGACATTCTAATTTGACAAGGAAATTTGATAGGTAATTTATGAACTCGGAATCCTGTAGCAAGGTACAAAATGGTAGGAGCTATATCATCATCATCGTTACTGAATTTAGTGTCTTAGAATGCACAAATAATACAAATTTTCCTACAGTAACTAATGGTCCATCAATTAATTCATGGAATACTAATACAATAGTGTTTGTATGCAAGTGATGCTAGCTCTAGACCAGTGTTTTCCAACTTTTTCTCATCCCAGACAAACAAAATTATGGATATTTTTCTGAGGACCAGTGAAATCTTTTCACAGCTCTAGATGATACCTAACAAATATCAAGTGATGTAGTGCATAATGTGTTTACTTATTGCATTTTGCTAGTGACATCAAATTGAAAGAATAATTAAATGATTTACATCAAAAGGTAAGTATGTAAATTATTACTTACTAAATTTCTTTATTGCTATAAATTAGAAAAGTTTAAAGTGGCAATAAAAAGAATTTAATAAACTTGATAAAAATTTGAGAAAAAAAAAATTATAATACAAGTCTCAGTCTTGCCTATATAAATTCTTTCATTTATACATTTTCAAGTACATTAATTCATAATGACACCTGCATATAATGGCTGCAACATGCAAGTGATGGCAATTTGAATGTAGCTATTATATTTTTGTTAACCAAAAGCCATCATAAATAAAAAGTTAGCCAGCGGCAAACTTTATCACAAAATTACATTTTAAATGTTGCACGTTTGGTTGGTTTAACCAGTTTGTTATATTGTATTTAATGTCTTAATCTTAAGCTGAGTAAATCTAATGTCAATGGTAGCCTACAGGCATAACAAAAATAAGCATTTTAAATTCTTTACAAAACAGTTTTTTTAGATAATTTACCACAGTTTAACCTTATCAGTTATAATTTCCATAAATGGCAAGAAATAGTTTTGCTTGCATTGTCTTTTGTATGCAGTTTTAAAACACAAATTATGCAAAATGCTATTAATAATTTATAATTTTGATATATAAATATAAATAATTTTTAAAATACTCTTATACAAGAACTTCAATAAACTTTCATTACTATTGCAAACATTTTAAATATTTCAAAAGTTCAGATATTTTCTTCCAATTACAGAAGAAACTCAATTGCAAACAAATAATGTAGCCATATTTATGCTTATACTAATAAACCAGAAACAGTTTGTTAATCTAGATAAACCCAAATTTCGATTTAATTATGATCCTTACACTAATATTTTCAATTAAAATTGTTGCATACAAAATTATTAAAAGAAACTGCTACTGTCCACATTAATAAAAACTACTCATGCCAAACAACGACCATAAAGTATTAATTTATCATTAACATACAGGGTCTTCCAAAATGAATGCTACCATTTTAAATTACTGTAATTATGTTAAATATTATCTGAGAAGTATGCAGCATCACCAATCAATAAAGCAACTGTCCTAGTTTCATCTCAAATCTGCATTCACACATCTTTTTGTCTGCTGCTCCTAGGAAACATTGTAAATGAAAATGACAACTCCACAACAGACAGGGAGTTGTGTGTTTGGTAGTTTGCAAAGTCAGAACACTCTTCATTATGCAACACAAATGTTCTGCAGGAGCATTGGGAGAATGACGACAGATATGCTGTGGCAAACATGGGAAGAATTTGAGTGTTAGTTGGATGTGTGCCATGCGACACAGTGCATGCATCCAGAAATTGTAATATGGAAATGAGAAATTTGGATTGTTTTCCAATATTTTAATGTACTCTACAATGTTCTCAGATAATATAATTTCAATAATTTAAAATGGTGGCATTCTTTTTAAAGACCCTACACTAAGATAATTTGCTATTTTTGGGAGTTATATTACAATTCAGTTATAATTAAAAATATTCTACAAATTAGACAATTTAGAGATCTTGCAAGAGACACACAACCAGGATTAAGTACAGCAAACCTGGACAACTTATCATTATAGAATTCTTTTTAAACATTTTTAATGTATGGGCATGTAATAAATGACCAATACTCTCATAACTATAGCCCATAAACTTATCAGGAATACATACAGGAGATGCTTGCATTATTAACCATCTCTATATATCAAAAATAATTAGTTTTATATTTATTGAGTGTATTTAAAAGTAGAAGATATTAAGACAACAGTATTGAATCTATTGTAATATGCATTTTAGATGAATTAAACTGCTCCACAAAGTGCAATAATTCATGAAAATCGATCTTGGGATCATGGAATACACTAACAAAACAGTTTCACACCACTAAATCCCAGATTATAATTCTCAACCATCTTATTTTTCATGGAAAAAAAGCCATATATGCTAAATTCAAATAAAAAAAAAAAAACACAAAAATTCAGTTGTAAAATGGATATTTCAAATGACGACACATTGAAACAGTCCAAACAACATGAAACAATCTAAGTAATTTTTATTTTGATCCATTTGCAGATAAGGTCATTTGCATTCATGAACTCAAAGCTCAATCAACTGATTATATATAAAAAAAAATTTTTATTTCTGTTAAACATATGCCATTTTAATATACAGCAATGGCTTAAATCATTTTCTATTTTCAGTACATATAATCTATACATATTGAGTTGTATGAGTATATAATATGTTAATTATTAATTCCTGACCTTGATTACATAATATTTAAAAAGTGATAAATGCCAAATGTGTTATGAAAGTCACAAATAAAAAATTATGCAAATTCAAATAATTTTAATTGAGTGTTCCTACTCTATCTGAAAGTTATAACATTACAAATAATTTTTAATGAATATGATAAATTTCATCATTTAGGGATCTTAAATTTAAATTAAAATTTAAAACATCACTTTAAATTCCCTAAAAAATTCTTCGAGAAATATTATGTAAAATAAAAGTTTTATAATGATAATATTAATTAACATACAAAAATTTTAACTTAAAATTTGCAAATGTGATTCTTAAAAGAAATATTTCATTCTATAAGACAAACTAATTAAAAATCTTATTTACATGAATTTCAAAATTGCTAATTATACTACATAAAAACTATTTTAACAATTTTGAAAAACTTTCATTAGTTTAAGAAGTGATTTATAATTTTCATATTTGAAAATTTGGGCAATTGCAATGTTTCATGCAATACTACTTTAACGGCACGTGTGTATGACATAGCACAACACCACAAATCAGTATGGAATTATTAAAATTGTCCACTTGTGAAACATCTTGTTATTACAGAATATCAATCGATAGCATGTTGTTAATAAATTTACAAAGAACTTTGCAAAATTTTTATGTAACCTTTAAAAAAAAAAAAGAAGAAGAAAAAAAAGATGAATGTAATACCATGACATTCAGCTTTTATATTTTTTGATCTGTCATTAAAATGACATTGTTTTTTTTTATTTGTCTGTCTGGTGGAAGGGTTTGTTAAGGAATCGATC